ACGTTTACGTATGATCAAGGAGGTCGTATATTGCAAGCCAGGCAGTATAGGCAAACAGTGTGCGCAATGATCAGAACGGTGAAGGCAGGGTCCCCATGAAAGGGCCGGACATGGAACCGCGCCAGGGTAAGAGCAAGGGCCACAGATGGGAACAGGGTACCCGGCGGACAGGAAGCGTGCAGAACGAAGAACACAAGACCCCTGATGAACATCATTCCACGCTCTCTGGTAGCGCACTGAGCGAAGAGCGTCAAGGGCACCGCTGCCTTGGCATGTGTGCCGGATCTCGTCCGGTAGTCGGAACGCCTGGGTGCCGGTGCCTGGCATGGCAGAACGCATGTGCACCTGCATGTCTGTCCGTCTGTTCAAGAGTACGCTTGTCCTGGCCTGGTTTGGCCTGCCGATGGCTGGGTGCGCATGCACATTGTATCTGTCATCGTACATCGTAGCACCTAGGGTCCCTTGGGGTTGCCTGTTAGTGAGGTCAGCTTTCACCACCGTTCAAAAGTTCCCCTGTCTTGCATGTGGTGATCGGCCTTGCATGAGCGCCAGAGAACTAGTAGGTGCACCCGTCGGTCGGATAGGATAGGCAGCTAGCCGGAGGCAGGGCAGATGACAGCTGCTGGGTGCCGTCACGGAGGAACGGGTCGGGTCCGAGGTCGTCGCGACCCGGCTGTCGTGCTGCCGCTGTTGATCCCGATAACAATGTCGCAAGTCTTGCGACGAGTTGCTTATGTGCCGTGATGGGGGTCATGAGATCCGATTTGTTTCGAAGTCAAGGATGGATGATTTGCAGAGGTCGCCAAAATAGGCCATGTGCGTCTGTAGCGAGACCAGCGTGGCGCCTGCCTCCTACCCCCCACCTCGCTCGATCCTTCCCTCACTACCGCACTTCATCCCCACCTCACAAGACCGCTGAGCGTTCTTGCTGAGCGTTCTTGCACAGCGCTTTCAATGTCAAAGGCGAAAGCTCCTCTGCTCGCACTAGCAGTGAGGGAAACGGATACGGGCGCGGCGACACAGATCATTCTCGGCGTCTCCCCCAGCAAACAGAATCGGACCCCACCCTAGGGCTGGCTGTGACGCTACCGCTGAGCTCCTCACCAGTCTTTGGGAAGGGGAAGGGGGCCCGCTTGGGAAGCTGACCGGGGCCAGGGGGCGGAAGGCCCCTACATCTACCATGTACAACCACCTAAGCACCACCAAGGTCTATGGATATCGCATCGCGTTGTCCTGGCCAAAGACAGATCCAGCCAAGATCGCACGGAATGGAACATCATCTGTGACATGACATCAACCCGACGCCTGGCCAAACCCTGCCCTGTCCGGCCTTGTCTGTTACCCTGCCTGCCTTACCTTCTATTAGCTACATGTCCTCGTCTTGTCCTACCTGGTCCTTGGCCAGCCCCGTCTCGCCCTACATAGCCATCACGCCAACACTATCAACGACTCAACTTGATGATGGGTTTGACGACATCTCATTTCTCCATCTCTCGGTCCATCCATATAAAAGCGCCAGCCCAAAAACAGCAGCCGCCTACAGGCAGCCACGGACCACTTGCGCCCTAGCACAAACGTACTCGCCCAGGCGCAGGGCACTGATGCGGGAAAAGATAAACAAGTGGCCCCTCTTCAAGGCCCACATGATGAACACAAATGAAGGGGGGGAGAAAGCTTGGGCTATGGAGACGAGAAGCGGGTGACACTGTACATCTCTTTCATTCTCTCTATCCCTTATGCTCACTCTCGCAAAGTCGATAGTTCCTTGGGGCACGCGAAAGCCAAGGACGAGCTTGGCATGATAGTGCCGGCGATCGGCGCGCACACGACTGCCGGCGTCAACAAAACAGGATCGCCGATAATGCCCCAAACACTTCTATGTCTTCTGTGTGTGTGTGTGTGTGTGTGTGGGAAACGCATACTGAGAAGAGACATGGCGGCATGCGATGGGTTGAACACCATAGCTGGTCCCATCCACCATGTCCCAACACGGCAAACATATCGTGGAAACCAGACCCAGACGTTGGGAAACCCCCACAAGGCCACCCGCCGATGTGCCATAGCGTTACGTTGCGTTTCCCACATCATCCCAGAGCGTTGCAAGGGCACTCATATTGAGCGTTGTCATGAATAGTTCTCATGAACGCTTAACAGCCTAGCAAAGGCCTGCTGCACTGCCGACCCTTCGTACCCAACACAGAGCTGAAGTGAGGTGCGCCAAGGCCCCACCCCCTGGTCTCCCCCATTGTGTGAAGCCCTGTACCTAGGTAGGTTTCGACCCCATCATCGCGTCCGAGCCCGCAGACGCCAATGTCCATCCACCCC